CCTCTCCACTTTAGCTGTAAGATCTTTGGACAAGGTTTCGTAAACTCCGGACTCTAGCAACGTGTTTAACTTATCCTTGTATTTGGATTCATCCAAAACCACTGTGCAGTTGCCTTTGTCTGCTCAAAGAATCCTAATTTCCTTGTTAAGTCTCAAAAGATTTCATGGCTTTCAGTTCCTTCGTGGTCATGTTAGGTCTGGAAGACTTAGACTTCTCTAGCATGGATCTAACTTTCCACCTGAATTCCATGCCCTTAGTCTGTGGAAGCTTCGAAACAACAGATTCCACAGCACATGCCATATCCAAGTTTGAGTGTGGGCGTGTTACCGAAAAATTCAAACCCTTCATAAGGACTGCTTCCTCAGAGTCCGTTAAAATATATCTGCATCGATTGAGGATGAATTTCTTAGATGCTGAGGCTGGGGTAGAAGGGGCTCTATTTTGTTGACTGTTGAGCTGGGAAAACTTGCTAATATGAACATCTTTCTGCTTATTGAAGATTTTCTCAAATGAATTTGTCCACAGCGTTGAATATACGCTGTTGGTTGAAAATATTTACAGATGACTTGAGAAAATCCTCCAGTTGATTGATTTCATATAGTTGGGAAGTCTTCTTATGCCAATGATAGTGTAACCTATCCCTAAGAAGTGCCTGACTGGCACGTAAGGCAATTTTGGAGGTCCATCAACTGTTGAAGGGCATCTTTACAGAGAAGGCTATGGGAATGATGTCCTGAGATTTGCATATCCTAAGGAAAGTTATATGATTGAGGGTTTTGGCTAACTGAATTTTCAGGCGTTCTCATTTTCTAAAGGAAGGGTATATAGCAGGTCCCTATAGCCTTCTCTGTAAAGACACCCAAGGGCAGTAGTCCTCAGAAGAAAGAGGAAAACCCTCTGTCTTCTGTATATATTCCATATGTGAAAGGTGTTTCTGAAAAGTTTAAATGGATAGGTAATCGATATAATATTAGGACAATCTTTCCAACAAAACACACTCTTAGGAACTCTCTTATGAAAACCAGACCAAAAAGAGATCCACAACAGACGGCACAGTGCATCCATAGCATTCCCTGTGAATGTGGCAGAAGCTACATTAGCAAAAGAGGCAGACCTCTGGCTGTGTGGCTCCGGGAACAGAGGCATAATCTCAAAGAAGGTCTTCTAGAAAATTCTGAGCTAGCTAAACATGCCTATGAAGAGGGACATAGGGTAGGCTGGGATGAAGCTAAGATTTTGGATACTGAAAGCCACATCAGGTATAGGAAATACAAGGAAGCAGCCCATATGGCATGCTCGGCCAAACCAATTAGCCAACCCAGTTTGGACTTTTCTCCCATTTGGATCCCCATTATCAGCAATGAAGTCACCAATTCACATAGAAGATCTGTTTGACGTGATACATGTTTTTATTGATTTCTATTAGGTTCTAAATTAGATAGACGTGATTTACTCCATTGCTGACCCTAGTTAGACACTATTAGTTTTTTACTAGTTCTCCTTTCTATTCCATGCCGTGGGGTCATGGACCTGGTTATTAGTTTGGTTTCGTGACATAAATTTCTACGGCTCTATCTATCCTGGTTCCACGCTTATACGTGTTTGGAACAATTTGTAATGTATATTTTTCTTATTAGCTCTCATGGACTTAGCCTGGTCTCAGGTGTTTATAACCTTTGTGTTTTGTGACATCAGCTGTCCAGTGATTTAGGCTAGTTGTTTCAACAGAACAGGAGTTTTCCCTCACCTGAGGACGGAAATAGATCCAATTCCGAAACGCCCCGTTTTCCTTAGTTATCTTAAAACCAGGATGATGGGTAAAGTTGGAAAACCCAATATCTCTGTGTACCCTGTATACAATTTGTTCAAGGGTTGAGGAAACCTGGCAACAGCGTACAGCATAGAGAACATTTCTCCCATACTGCTGCTGTAACTGCTGATAGCAGAATGAGTCATTAGAGCTGACAAATGCGCGCTGTCATGCAGTCTGATCGTGTTACTGCAATAAGTTGCATTAATAGTCCGTCTCTGTTAGTGGTGTCGATAGTTAGTCGACATTTATACCGAAATGAAGTTCGCTATTGAACAGCGTATGTTCACTGTCAAAGCTTTTGCATTGAAAAAACTTACAGAAAATGCATCCACAAGTTTCGTCGTAAATATTCTGACTCGCCAGTTCCCACAAAGTCCTGTGTATCCAAGCTTGTGGAAAAAAAGTGGTCATCTACAGGTTCAGTGCATGACATGAAGAAATCTCAAAGAGGATTGTGCTGACTGAAGAAAAGGTTTGGCATATTCAGGCACAACTACAGAACAGTCCTCAAAAATAATTAAGACGTTCAGAGCAGGAAGCCGGTGTTTCGTTAGGATCTGCTTTCACAGCCACAAAATTAATCAANTAAAACCAGGATGATGGGTAAAGTTGGAAAACCCAATATCTCTGTGTACCCTGTATACAATTTGTTCAAGGGTTGAGGAAACCTGGCAACAGCGTACAGCATAGAGAACATTTCTCCCATACTGCTGCTGTAACTGCTGATAGCAGAATGAGTCATTAGAGCTGACAAATGCGCGCTGTCATGCAGTCTGATCGTGTTACTGCAATAAGTTGCATTAATAGTCCGTCTCTGTTAGTGGTGTCGATAGTTAGTCGACATTTATACCGAAATGAAGTTCGCTATTGAACAGCGTATGTTCACTGTCAAAGCTTTTGCATTGAAAAAACTTACAGAAAATGCATCCATAAGTTTCGTCGTAAATATTCTGACTCGCCAGTTCCCACAAAGTCCTGTGTATCCAAGCTTGTGGAAAAAAAGTGGTCATCTACAGGTTCAGTGCATGACATGAAGAAATCTCAAAGAGGATTGTGCTGACTGAAGAAAAGGTTTGGCATATTCAGGCACAACTACAGAACAGTCCTCAAAAATAATTAAGACGTTCAGAGCAGGAAGCCGGTGTTTCGTTAGGATCTGCTTTCACAGCCACAAAATTAATCAAATTTCGACCGTATAAAATAACAGTTGTGCATGCATGGAAACGACCAGATTATGCATCAAGAATCCGTTTTTGTTAACTGGCTGCTGTAAAATTTGCATGATGGAATCGTGGATCCACAGCTTCTGTTCATTACTGATGAAGCGAGGTTTTACGCTATTGGTTATGTCAGTGCACAAAATGTAAGTATATGGAGTGATGAAAATCCTCACGCTATACAGCAAGTGCCACTATATAGTGAAAAGGTGGGGGTGTGGTGTGCTGTAAGTCTGCAGCGAATCATTGGCCCCTTATTTTTCCACGATACTGTGAACTCTGACCGCTACGTTACTGATATACCGAATCCATTCTTCAACCAGATGACTGCTGAAGAAAGACAACATGGGTATTTTCACCAAGGCACCGTTACAACGCATACAGGTAATGCAACCATGGTCGCAAAATGGGAAGTGTTTGAAGACAGAATAATCAGGAGAGGACTGTAGCCTCCCATATCCCGAGATCTAAGATGTTGTTTTTTTTATCTTTGGGGAAACCTGAAGGGAAATTCTACAAGAATAATCCTCGTAGCACTGATGTTCTGCAGAGTGAAATAATAGGTCACTTTTCACATGCTTGGATAAACACGACTTTGTGGGAACTGGTGAGTTATAATATTTGAATTGAAACTTACAGATACATTTTCTGTAAGTTCTTTTCCATGCAAAAGTTTTGACAATAAACACGCTGTTCAATAGTGAAATTCATTTCAGTACAAATGTCGACCACCTAGCGACACCTCTAACAAAGACTCACTCACTATTACGCGACCTACTGCAATGACAAGATCAGACCACCTGACAGCATGCAGTTATCAGCGCCAATGACTCATTCTGCTATCGGCAGTTACAGCAGCAATCTGTGAGAAATATTTTGTCCACTGTGTGATGCTCCCCGATTTCCTCGATGGTTGAACGCCCTGTATTTAGGTACACTGGAATATCTTTTTATGAACTTTCAGTTTTTTATAGTGTATTGAAGGTTTATCTCATTTGACTTTCAACTTTTTTCCAAATTCATGAAATACATCATGTAATGCTTAAATTTTGAGAACTGTACATGCCATGTCTGCAAAAATTGCCATGGGTAAGTTTAAAACCATTTTTATTAATATTACAGGCTTAAAAACAAAGCATGTTGTTTTAAGTTCTCTGAGAAGTTTCAATGAATATTAGCATGTAAGATTGAGGTTTCCACAACAGATACTGTATATCCTGGAATCTGCAGTCAAATAGATTGGTTAATTGTTACAAGAATATTGGCACGTGAGAATTCCTCTTTCATTAATTCGTTTGGGGTTGGGTAAACTTCAAAGCACAATTCAATTTTCATCATGCCTGGCTAGATATTAATTTAAGACAAATTCACAAGCTACATCTGTGATATAGTGCACAACAACTGCACTGAGCTCAACGTCTTCAAGATAATAACTAATACATAAAAAACAGCCCTTCATACTACTCGTCTGGATACTTCAGAACCAGTATCTTCAGAGTCACAGTCGTGGGTGTGGCAAATCTGACAGTGCTTCCTATTTCTTTTCATATTATAGTATTTTAATCAAATGCACTGCAAAAGACTGTGAATAAAAATCAGAATTGGGGGAATACAAATAGATAGTGTATGACTGGGGTGAAACCTCTAACAAGGTAGCCATCTGCGGAGACCTGGACAGCAATGGGGCAGTATTACCAGGATGGACATTTGGGGAATAGATTTTTGGGATGTGTCCCAAAGTGATATGAATCGCTGTTGTTTCTAAGGGTTTTCAAACCTTTGGTTCTAACATGGAGGTTATTACATATACATACTAATGAGATGTAGAGATCCATCATGTACAGCGTTAACTGCAATTAAGATAAAAAAAAAAACTCAATGGTGTTAACTGGCACCATAATTTAGATGCAGAAAAATATGACACGAAGAGACATAATGACATATATCTCCTTCTGATATACACACTTACAGCTTTATTCTTCAGAACAGGAAATGCTGAGTCAACTCGTTTCAAAATTATTTTTGGGAATCGAGTTGCTAAGGAATGCAACGTCCTTCTCAATCTCGCAAGGCGCACTTCTTCACTTGTCATGCTTCTTGTGTTATTCTGTGCTGAACACACACAAAGGATTAGACACTGGCACATCAAAAGGTAGCATAAAAACATATGCTCCTAGTTGAGAAAATAAAGAGGGAAATTTTCATACAATACTGAAGTATGCGAAACTAATATTTTACTCCCCTGGAAAAGCAAAATACCAACATTTGAAATTAATTATGGAAATTGCATGTGTGACGTTCATATAGATTTTGTCTACTTTTTCAAGACAATTTATTGCACGGCATTACTGCATTTACCATGAATAAATTGTAAGTGAAACTGGTCTTGCTGCCTTAAATGCGTGATGAAGCAGTTACGCAGCGATTCTAGTACATTATTCATCTTCAATAAGCTGCAATCTTAAACTAGAAATAAAGTTATGCCTACACTTAATTAATCAAGCAATACACTATGAAGACATAAGGGGAAGTGTAGATATAGCTCCACAATTCTCGACCTTAGCACAAGATGCAGATCAATGGTTAGCTTCATGCCACTTTCGCCTTAGGCCCAGGAAAAGAGCCGCATTTACCAATAAGATAGGAGCCTGGGTGGCGTCCAGAGCCAGTCTCGATGCTATGGACTAGTTTCTAAAAAGAATATTTAAGGTTTCAGTAGAAGCGAAATTTCTTCGCCCAGGAAATCAGCAGCAGGGGTGCCACAGTTCTGTACAGCTTATATATAAATGATGCCCTCACGGCACCAGGAATACACCTTGCTCTGTTCGCGGAAGATACTTGTATATACGCAACAGAGAAACATGAGCGACGAGTTTTCAACAAACTCCAGCGTGGTCACACTGTCGTGGGGTCATGGTGTCGGCACTGGAACATAAAGATCAATGAAGGGAAGACTCAGGCTATCTACTTCTCCAGAAGGCGTAGAATGCCTGAGGACGCCGTACAACTAAATGGAATGAACATCCCATTTGTAAATAGTATTAAATTTCTAGGTGCCACCTTCGATAGGAGGATGACATGGAGACTACACATTTTAGATCAGTGATGAATTATAGCTGTCACACCTGTGAGTTTACAGCGGACACTCATTTGATGAAACTGCAGCACCTGCAGAACAGAGTTCACTGTGCTATTGGCAATCTTGACAGGCGCACACTGGCCCGCAATTTGCACTTGGCATTCAAAATTCCGTAAGTGTATGATTACAAAACTAAATAATGCAGGAGGCAGGCAGATGTCGTCCTAAATCACGAAAATCCAAAAGTATGTGCAATTGGACAAGGAGAAGCCAGGCATAGGAAATATAAGAGGCTTAAACTTGGCAGCGCTCAGGCCTACGACCATTCAAGTGTCTAACTGCTGTCTCAGATTGTTAAATAAATTGATGCATATGGTGCTGCACATTCCTATGCTGAGAGATGTCCCTGTACATATTAGTATTAAAATAAAAAAATAACAATATCAGTTATATTGTGAAGAGTGTAATAAGTAAAAAAAAAAGTATGTATCACATTTCCTCCATAAGGTGTAGCAAGTGAACATAAAAAAAAAGAAGTAGACCAACCACTCCTTTTATCGTTAAGAAGGACCAAATAAGAGAGGGAGAAAAAAAGTCTACACTCAAAACAAAAATATGGCCATGGATCCCAGNAGGGACCAATGCCAAGAGTGACCATGCCGGCTGATTGTCAGCAGTAAGCTTCTGCTCTGCAACCTATTTGGGTCTGTTATCCAGTACATCGGTTCGCCGGTGCTGAGATTTACAGTTTTGTCTATATATATAAGCTGTACAGCACTGGGGCAAGGACGGAACCTTGTGGCACCCCTGCCGCTACCTTCCTGGGTGAAGAAAGTTCGCCTTCTACTGAAACTTTAAATTTTCTGTTTGTTAGAAATGAAGCAATCAGTTTTATGAGACTGGTCAAAAATTGTAACTCTGTGAGCTTATATAGTAGGCCGGGGTGCCATGTTACGTCAAAGGCCTTTTCAATGTCCAAGAATACAGCAGCCGTCAACATACTGTTATTAAAATTAAGAGAGACGTGATGCGCACAAAAACCAAACTGACTTGTGTTTAGCAAGTTCCTTTCCTCTAAGTGTCCATGGATTATTCTTAGATTTACTTTCTCGAAAAGTTTGCCCGTAGTGGACAGGAGGCTAATCAGACGTAAATTTTGTGGGAATTTTGGGTTTTTGGCAGAGCTATGATTTTGGTTTCCTTCCAAGGTGCCAGGAAGTGACAGAGTTGAAAACAGTGGTTAAATAAATGCGTTAAATGAATGAGAGTTCTTCTTGGAAGGTGCCTGAGACATTCATTTGGAATGCCATCAATTCTGCAGGCCTTTCCTAATTTTAGGGATCGAATTTCTTTGGAGACGTCACATNCCTAGTTGAGAAAATAAAGAGGGAAATTTTCATACAATACTGAAGTATGCGAAACTAATATTTTACTCCCCTGGAAAAGCAAAATACCAACATTTGAAATTAATTATGGAAATTGCATGTGTGACGTTCATATAGATTTTGTCTACTTTTTCAAGACAATTTATTGCACGGCATTACTGCATTTACCATGAATAAATTGTAAGTGAAACTGGTCTTGCTGCCTTAAATGCGTGATGAAGCAGTTACGCAGCGATTCTAGTACATTATTCATCTTCAATAAGCTGCAATCTTAAACTAGAAATAAAGTTATGCCTACACTTAATTAATCAAGCAATACACTATGAAGACATAAGGGGAAGTGTAGATATAGCTCCACAATTCTCGACCTTAGCACAAGATGCAGATCAATGGTTAGCTTCATGCCACTTTCGCCTTAGGCCCAGGAAAAGAGCCGCATTTACCAATAAGATAGGAGCCTGGGTGGCGTCCAGAGCCAGTCTCGATGCTATGGACTAGTTTCTAAAAAGAATATTTAAGGTTTCAGTAGAAGCGAAATTTCTTCGCCCAGGAAATCAGCAGCAGGGGTGCCACAGTTCTGTACAGCTTATATATAAATGATGCCCTCACGGCACCAGGAATACACCTTGCTCTGTTCGCGGAAGATACTTGTATATACGCAACAGAGAAACATGAGCGACGAGTTTTCAACAAACTCCAGCGTGGTCACACTGTCGTGGGGTCATGGTGTCGGCACTGGAACATAAAGATCAATGAAGGGAAGACTCAGGCTATCTACTTCTCCAGAAGGCGTAGAATGCCTGAGGACGCCGTACAACTAAATGGAATGAACATCCCATTTGTAAATAGTATTAAATTTCTAGGTGCCACCTTCGATAGGAGGATGACATGGAGACTACACATTTTAGATCAGTGATGAATTATAGCTGTCACACCTGTGAGTTTACAGCGGACACTCATTTGATGAAACTGCAGCACCTGCAGAACAGAGTTCACTGTGCTATTGGCAATCTTGACAGGCGCACACTGGCCCGCAATTTGCACTTGGCATTCAAAATTCCGTAAGTGTATGATTACAAAACTAAATAATGCAGGAGGCAGGCAGATGTCGTCCTAAATCACGAAAATCCAAAAGTATGTGCAATTGGACAAGGAGAAGCCAGGCATAGGAAATATAAGAGGCTTAAACTTGGCAGCGCTCAGGCCTACGACCATTCAAGTGTCTAACTGCTGTCTCAGATTGTTAAATAAATTGATGTATATGGTGCTGCACATTCCTATGCTGAGAGATGTCCCTGTACATATTAGTATTAAAATAAAAAAATAACAATATCAGTTATATTGTGAAGAGTGTAATAAGTAAAAAAAAAAGTATGTATCACATTTCCTCCATAAGGTGTAGCAAGTGAACATAAAAAAAAAGAAGAAGTAGACCAACCACTCCTTTTATCGTTAAGAAGGACCGACTAGGAGAAAGAAAAAAAAAAGTCTACACTCAGAACAAAAATATGGCCATGGGTCCCAGGCAGGGACCGATGCCAAGAGTGACCATGCCGGCTGATTGTCAGCAGTAAGCTTCTGCTCTGCAACCTATTTGGGTCTGTTATCCAGTACATCGGTTCGCCGGTGCTGAGATTTACAGTTTTGTCTATATATATAAGCTGTACAGCACTGGGGCAAGGACGGAACCTTGTGGCACCCCTGCCGCTACCTTCCTGGGTGAAGAAAGTTCGCCTTCTACTGAAACTTTAAATTTTCTGTTTGTTAGAAATGAAGCAATCAGTTTTATGAGACTGGTCAAAAATTGTAACTCTGTGAGCTTATATAGTAGGCCGGGGTGCCATGTTACGTCAAAGGCCTTTTCAATGTCCAAGAATACAGCAGCCGTCAACATACTGTTATTAAAATTAAGAGAGACGTGATGCGCACAAAAACCAAACTGACTTGTGTTTAGCAAGTTCCTTTCCTCTAAGTGTCCATGGATTATTCTTAGATTTACTTTCTCGAAAAGTTTGCCCGTAGTGGACAGGAGGCTAATCAGACGTAAATTTTGTGGGAATTTTGGGTTTTTGGCAGAGCTATGATTTTGGTTTCCTTCCAAGGTGCCAGGAAGTGACAGAGTTGAAAACAGTGGTTAAATAAATGCGTTAAATGAATGAGAGTTCTTCTTGGAAGGTGCCTGAGACATTCATTTGGAATGCCATCAATTCTGCAGGCCTTTCCTAATTTTAGGGATCGAATTTCTTTGGAGACGTCACATAGTCGAAATTTAGGTGAGGGGTTTTCCTCGACTGTAGTCAGCAGAGCTTGGACTCGGGCCTCCACCAGCCATTCATGGTCAGTGTCACACAGTTTATGCGGCTTGAACAGGATTTCTAGATAATTTGCAATTATACTGGCTTTTTCGTTTGGATAAAATACTGGTCCGAAACGCCCATGAATTGCAGTTGGTACCTTTGGTCCACCCCTCTTTGTGAGAGATTTCGCAATAGGCCATACTGCACAAGGTGTAATCTCACAGTTCTCTGTCTTGGTTTCCCACCGTTCAGGTGCCTACTTCCGGGCCATTCTCCTTATAGTTTTAGTGACCCAGTTCACTGCTGTTTTGCATGCTGGATCCTGGGTTTCTTGCCAAAGTTTTCTGAGCC